AGATAGATAGATAGATAGATAGATAGATAGATAGATAGATATTAGACTGAGATAGATTTATAAACAGATATATACTGACTGCGATAGATAGATAGATGATAGATAGATGATAGATAGATAGATAGATAGATAGAATAGATAGATGATATTAATAAACTGTGATAGAGAAATAAACATATAAATTGAGATAGATAGAAGATATTATTAGATAGATAGATTTTAATAAACTGATAGATAGATATGATAAATATATAAATTGAAAACAAATTGAAAATATTGTTAGGATAAAGATAGGAAAAAAAATAAACAAGAAATAGTAATAAAACAGACATTTCCTAAAATTTAAGGGGATAATAATTTAAAAAGATTTGGAGAATTCCATGTTGCTAATATCAACAGTAAAAGATTTATTAAAACACTGGATAACACAAACTTTATAAAACAATCATTTAGGTTGGGTAAAGATAGATAGATAGATAGATAGATAGATAGATAGATAGAGATAGATAGAGAGATAGATAGATAGATAAGAAAGATAGATAGATAGATAGATAGATATTAGACTGATAGATAGAGATTTATAAATAGATAGATATATACTGACTAAACAGATATATACTGACTGAGGATAGATAGATAGATAGATAGATAGATAGATAGATAGATAGATAGATAGATGATATTAAGATAGATATTAATAAACTGACTGTGAGGATAGAGAAATAAACATATAAATTGACTGTGATAGATAGATAGATATTATTAGAGATAGAGATAGATTTATAAACAGATATATGACTGATAGATGCGTTAGATAGATAGATTTGATAACGTTATTGAGTGATGGGAAAATTGACTTTGTAAACTGAGATGAAGAAAAGTGAACAGAGATCATGTAGCAATAAAAAGATATATAAAACAAATTGAAAATATTGTTAGGATAAAGATAAGATAGATAGAAAAAACTAAACAAGAAATAGTAATGTTACAAACAGACATTTCTGAGATAGATTTATAAAAATTAAGGGGATAATAATTAAGATGGAAAATGTATTGACCAACAAGAAAATATTTGGAGAATTCCATGTTGATAGATATCAACATTTAAAAAGATATAAAATATTAAAAAACATTTGAGAATGGGAAAAATATTAACACAAACTTTATAAAAACAATCATTTAGGTTGGGTAAAGATAGATAGATAGATAGATAGATAGATAGATAGATAGATATTAGCAGACCGAGAGAGATATATAAACAGATATAAACTGAAAACGTTAGATAGATAGATAGATAGATAGATAGATAGATAGAGAGAGAGAGAGAGAGAGAGAGAGAGAGAGATAGAGAGAGATAGATAGTTATTAGCAGACTGAGAGAGATATATAAACAGATATAAACTGACCACGTTAGATAGATAGATAGATAGATAGATAGATAGATAGATAGATATTAGCAGACCGAGAGAGATATATAAACAGATATACCTGAAAACGTTAGATAGATAGATAGATAGATAGATAGATAATTATTGATATTTTATTTTTTGATTTCAGATATGCAAGTTTGTCCTGGCTCTTATAAAAACAATCATTTAGGTTGGGTAAAGAATTACAGAAAAACTAGCTTCACAATTGACATTTTTCACTGATTAATGTGTATCTGATGGCTGTTTTTCATATCAGTCCCGGGAAAATAGTCAATCAAAACGACGTAGGCAAATGCGGAGCATTGTTTTGGATTAGTCTTATGTGAACATGAAATTTGGTTAATGTGCAAGTTAAATGAAGAGAATTAGTATCGTAGAGTCGGATTATTATTTCTTGAAAAATGTTTTTAAAAGTGCTGGTCACCGTTATGCTAAAGAATATATTCAGACATCATGTGAAACTCCTATATACAATATATTGCTAAAGATACTGAAAAAAAATGGTCGCTTCGTTGTACCCCTCCAGTAAGTATCTGACTCCACCTGCTATACTACCATCTTTGCAAGAGTCAGACTAGACAAAAAATGAGGTATTGCTGCCATATTTGGGCTCTAACCGCCCATTTCACACTTCTTACAATCTAAAAATATTTTCTGGCTTTAAATAACCTGCAAAGGGTTGATAAACCATAAAAAATGAATCAATCAACCACCTATTTTAATTTGTATAAACATTATAAACCGAAATAAACAGAATATATTGCTCAGAGAAATATTAGTAACATACTAAAAAGTTACCAACCTCGGTTGGTAAATATTAATTTTATTGTGAAACTATGGAATTGCATAATAAAATCAGATATCATCTATCTACCTATCTATCTTTTTATCTCTCTGTTCCTGTCTCTGTCACTCTCTCTATATATAGATAGATAGATAGATAGATAGATAGATAGATAGATAGATAGATAGATAGATAGATAAAAACAAAGTGAAATGAAGAGATATAAAATGGAATGAGATAGATAAGTATGTATATACAACAATCAGTGAACAGATACTGAGATTATGAGCAAGATAGATAGATAGATAGATAGATAGATAGATAGATAGATAGATAGATAGATAAATAGATAGATAGATAGATAGATAGATGTCAACTAGTTAAATGATTATAACCATGGCTGACAAGGTTGTCCCATGGTGGTAGTTCTCGTGGGAATGACAATGGCTCTAGAAGCTAGCAAATGACTTGCAATGCTTATCGCGACAAACTGTACTGTACAGAGCTTTGCATGTTTTGTAAACTCTGTTCCGGTTGCTCGTAGGTTTTCATGCAACTTGTGAAACCAGAACGGCTTTTCTGTGTGTTTTGACACACCCCTCATGTTAAATTATTCCGAGCGTAGTATTTTTAAGTCGAATTCACCCCTAGCAAAGGCAGTAGAGCTCCAAAGTCACAAGGGGTTAATGAATGAAGAAGAATTAGATCAGAAACAGTACCAAAAAGCAAGAATAAAAAAAATAATCAGGGCGACAGTAGATAGCGATTGACATTTCATTTAAATTTTTGAAGGTTCAAGTTGACTGGAAAGCGTGGAGCCGGAAAGGAGTTACCCGAGCGAGAAGTGCGTGAAATTGTTAGCATAGAATTTATGCTTACATCTAGCCAGCTCAACTGTAAATTGATAAGATCTTAATACCAATCTAGTACTGTGCTTAAATTCAAAAAGTCGGGGTATCATAGGTTGCAAGGTCACCTTGAGTGACATCATTTCATACCTTGATGCTACCTGAAATTAAACCAGCGACATTAACTGATATCGTAATGTAATAATGAAATAATTGGATAACCAAAGCCTCACAAGATTTTTCACCTAAGTGTTTGCAGTGTCGAAGGCCTTGGTAAGATCTAAGAAGGTGT